GGGGCAATGAGCAAAACCCCATCTCAAAAAAAAAAACAAGTAAACAAACAAAAAAAGATGAGGATGAAACAACCAAGTGAAGGAGAGCTTAAATGTATTCTTAGGCAGAAGAAAAAGCTTTCAGGTGAGAATTTTAAAACTTAGAGTGATCCCATGGGCTTCCAACTGCAATGATCCATTCTCTCCACCACCCTCATTGGGCCCAGCCCACCAAGCCCAGAGGCATGAATTTAACTTATGACAGTCTTGTGGTGGGATAATTGCTTGGCACAAGTCCTCATTTTTTTTAGAGATATGAATTGGAATATTTGGGGTGAGATGTCATGATGTCTACTGGCCTCTAAAACTACGGCAAAAACATTTAAGTTCACCGAAATGTCAATAAGTAATACACTGAATGTATAGGTTTTAGTTGGAGAAAATATAAATCACTAAATCCAGGTTATTATACTCTTCTCTCTGCTTTTTTGTATGCTTGTAAAGTTGTATTAAAAGAATAAGACACACTCACATGCACCATCCATTTCTTTCATTTTTAGGGTATTCTCACAACAGCAATGAGGCCTTAACTGGGAAGTCTGGTAAGTCTCAAAAAAGCCGCAGCCCAGGGTAAGGAGGGGGTCACTTGATGGTGCTTCACCTTGTCCAAGAGCATCGTGCACACACAGTCTTGGATGACCAACCAAGGCAAAGACTATTGAGGCACAGTGAAGGGATAGCAGGGATCCTGGCTTGCTGGGGCCTCACTTTTGGGGAGCATCAGAGGCATGAAGTGTTGAGTCACTAAGCTCTCCTCCCCAGGACTGTGCCCATCCTCAGGCCACATAGGGTCCAAGAAGGAGCCCTGGGATGTGGCAGGAGGTGGCTTACCCTAACCCTTGTCTCCCTAGACCTTCCCTTCTGGGCCATCATCCTCATCTGCTTGGCGGGACTCCTGGGACTCATCACATGCCTGATCTGTGGTTTCCTGGTGAGCAAGGAAGGGTTGCTTGTCTTCTTACTATTGGGTTGTAAGAGTTTTTGATATATATACATACATACACACACACACATATATACACTATATGTACATATACACATACACACATACACACACACGCACACACACACATAGAGTTATATGGATAAATAGATCATCGCAGGCCAGGCACAGTGGCTCATGCCTATAATCCCAGCACTTTGGGAGCCCAAGGCAGGCGGATCATAAGGTGAAGAGATCAAGACCATCCTGGCCAAAATGGTGAAACCGCATCTCTACTAAAAACAATTTTTTTTTGAGATGTCTCTCTGTCACCCAAGCTGGAATACAGTGGCATAATCTCGGCTCATTACAACCTGTGCCTCCCGGTTTCAAATGATTCTCTTGCCTCAGCCTCCCAAGTAACTGGGACTACAGGCATGCACCACAATGCCTGGCTAATTTTTATATTTTTAGTAGAGATAGTGTTTCATTATGTTGGCCAGGCTGGTCTTGAACTCCTGACCTCATGATCCACCTGCCTCAGCCTCCCAAAGTGCTGGGGTTACAGGTATGAGCCACCATGTCTGGCCAAGAGTTTTTAATATATTCTACACCTATACTATACTATACTATACTATACTATACTATACTATACTATACACAAGTCCTTTGCTGGATAAATGTTTTGCAAATATGTTCTCCCAGTTCATGGAATGGCTTTCCTATTTTCTTTTTATAATTGTATTTTTAATTAATTGATAAATAATGAATGCATATATTTATGGGATACAATGTGATGCTTTAGCATATGTACAATTATGGAATGACTCAATCAAGCTAATTAATATGTCCCTCACCTCTCATACTTATTATTTCTTTGTGGTGTGAACATTGGCAACCTACACTCTTAGCAATTTTGAGATCTACATTGTTATTAACTATAGTTACTACGTTGTGCAGATCTCAAAAACTTCACAACCTATATGCTGATTACAAGACACTGAGTGAAAAAGTGATTGCCGAGAGTGTAAATAAAAGGATGTAAGAGAGAAAAAAATGTAACAACATTAGTCATGAGGGAAATGTACATGGAAGTCACAATGAGAGGCCACTTTGCACAAGAATGGATAAAATTGAAAAGATCGACTATAACAAGTGTTGGTGAAAATGTGATGTAACTGGAATTATCTTAAAGCACTAGTGGAAAATAGCTTGGCCACTTATTTGAAAATTACACACACCTTCCATAAGACCCCACCATCCCACTTCTAGCAATTTATCTAAGAGAAATAAAAACATGTCCATATGAAGGCTTGTACAAAAATGTTCATAACAGCTTTATGTGTAATAGCCAAGCTCTGAAAACAACCCTAATGTCTGTTAACAAATATATCCTGAAAATGGAATATTATTCAGCAACAAAAAGGAATTAATTATTAATAAATTATACAGCAGCATGTATAAATTACAAAATACTTATGCCTAGTGAAAGAATCCAGACAAAGAAAAGAGTACATGCCATATGATTCCCTTTATAGACAAATTTTAGTAAATACAAACTAATCTGTAAAGAGAGAAATCAGATTAGTGGTTGCCTGAGAATGAGAACGTGTTTTCAGTGGCAGGGAAAAGGGAATTGTAAAAGAGCAGAAGGAAAATTTTGGGGGTTTTTTTGTTTGTTTTTTGTTTTTTGTTTTTTTGAGACAGAGTCTTGCTTTGTTGCCCACGCTGGAGCACAATGGTGCGATCTCGGCTGACTGCAACCTCTGCCTCCCAGGTTCAAGTGATTCTCCTACCTCAGCCTCCCAAGTAGCTGGGATTACAGGGGCGCACCACCACAGCCAGCTAATTTTTGTATTTTTAGTAGAGATGGGGTTTTACCATGTTGGCCAGGTTGATCTCAAACTCCTGACCTCAGGTGATCCACCTGCCTTGTCCTCCCAAAATGCTGGGATTACAGGCATGGACCACCACACCTGGCCAAGAGTAAAGTTTTGGGGATGATGGATGGATATTCCTTATCTTGATTGTGGTGCTGGTTCAATAAGGTATGATTAGAAGTTACCAAAATGTTCATTTTAAATGCATGCCATTTATTTTATGTCAGTTACGCCTCAGTTAAGCTGGACGGGCATACAGAAGGAAGGAAGTGAGAGAGAGGGAGAGGCTGAGACCAGTACCAAAAGCCAGAGAAAAAGAGACTGAGAATGAGATGAGAGAAATGATATTTAGACAGAAGACAGGAGATAGATGATTGACAGTTGATAGATGATTGGTGGATAGTTGATAGGTAGATGATAAATAGATGATTCTTATAGGTAATTGATAGACGATAAATAGACAAGTAATAGGTAGTTGATAGATATTGTTAAATAGATGATAGATAAATAGATGATTGATGTGACAGGTGATTGATAGATGATTGATAGATTATAAATAGCAGATGATTGAGAGATGAGAGATAATTGATAGTTATTGATAGGTAGATAATTGATTGACAGATCGATAAATACTGATAGCTACATGATAGATAAATAGATCATCGCAGGCCGGGCACGGTGGCTCATGCCTGTAATCCCAGCACTTTGGGAGGCCAAGACAGATGGATCACAAGGTGAAGAGATCAAGACCATCCTGGCCAACACTGTGAAACTGCATCTCAAAAATACAAAAATTAGCTAGGAGTGGTGGTGGGTGCCTGTAGTCCCAGCTACTCGGGAGGTTGAGGCAGGAGAATCTCTTGAACTCACTTGAACTCAGTTGCAGTGAACTGAGATCACGCCACTGCAGTCCAGCTTGGGGGACAGAGTGAGACTCTGTCTCAAAAAATAAATAAATAAATAAATAAATCATTGGTAGATCTGTGATATACTGATAACGAAATTCAGGGGCAAGGGGAGAGAGAAATGAAGGGGATATCAGAGGGGGAAACTTTTTGTTAACTGAGAGTAAAACAAGGAGAGAGAAGAAAAGAAGTAGTGAAAAGAGGAAAAGAAGAGAGGGAGAAAGAAAATGGAACAAGGAAAGGAGACAAAGGAAGCATCAGGTCTCTGGCTTTGGCCATAGTCTCACCCCTGTGGCTGTCCCCTCCCTGGATGGCTGACCAGTCCATTCTCATGCCTCCTCCTCGCCCTCACAGGTGACCACCTGCCGGCGAAAGAAGGAAGGAGAATACATCATCAGGCAACAGCACCCAGGCTACTGCAAGTCACACCTAGACCTGGAGGATCTGCAATGACTGGAACTTCCCGGCGCTCGGGGTCCCTTTTCCCCAGCCAGGGTGCAAAGAAACTGAGCTGGGGCAGAAATAAACCATGCTGATTGGACACAAGTCTCTGAGCCTTTCTTGACATGACCCTTGACTGGTTCATGTTGGGCTAAGAGAACAGTCTTCCCCCTTCATGAAGTCCTGAAGGCAACCCCCAGTTGTGTTTTGTGGCTTCACACCATGGCATCCCTTAGGAACAGCAGAATTGGTGAAACTGGTTGTATTTGGCTCTTCTTGCACTGGGACAAAGGAATACCAGGGCGGGCTCAATGGCTCACACCTATAATCCCAGCACTTTGGGAGGCCAAGGCAGGTGGATCACTTAAGGTCAGGAATTCAAGACCAGGCTGGCCAACTTGATGAAACCCTTTCTCTACTAAAAATACAAAATAAAATTAACTGGGCGTGGTTGCCCATGCCTATAATCCCAGCTACTTGGGAGGCTGAGGCAGGAGAATCGCTTGAACCAGAGAGTCGAAGGTTGCAGTGAGCTGAGATCACGCCACTGCACTCCAGCCTGGCGACAGAATAAGACTCCATCTCAAGAAAAGAAAAGAAAAGAAAAGAAAAGAAAAGAAAAGAAAAGAAAAGAAAAGAAAAATCAGCTAGGCATGGTGGTGCATGCCTGTAATCCCAGCTACTCAGGAGGCTGAGGCACAAGAATCACTTGAACCCAGGAGGCGGAGGTTGCAGTGAGCTGAGATCATGCCACTGCACTCCAGCCTGGGTGACAGAGTGAGACTGTCTCAAAAAAACAAACAAACAAACAAACAAACAAAAAAAAACACCTGGCTGGGCCCAGTAGCTCACATCTGTAATCCTAACACTATGGGAGACCAAAGCAGGCAGATTGCTTGAGTCCAGGAATTGCAGACCAGCCTGGGAAACATGGCAAAATGCTGTCTCTCAAAAGACTTTAAAAAATAGCCAGGCATGGTGGTGTGTGCCTATAGTCCCAGCTACGTGGGAGGCAGAGGTGGGAGGATCACCTGAGCCTGGGAGGTCGAGGCAGCAGTGAAATGTGATTGTACCACTGGACTGCAGCCTGGGTGACAGAGTGAGATCCTGTCTCAAAGAAAGAAAAAATAAATACCTGAGACTGGGCAGTTTATAAAGAAAAGAGGCAGGGCCGGGCGCAGTGGCTCACGCCTGTAATCCCAGCACTTTGGGAGGCCGAGGCGGGTGGATCATGAGGTCAAGAGATCGAGACCATCCTGGTCAACATGGTGAAACCCCATCTCTACTAAAACTACAAAAAATGAGCTGGGCATGGTGGCACGTGCCTGTAATCCCAGCTACTCAGGAGGCTGAGGCAGGAGAATTGCCTGAATCCAGGAGGCGAAAGTTGCGGTGAGCCGAGATCGCGCCATTGCACTCCAGCCTGGGTAACAAGAGCGAAACTCTGTCTCAAAAAAAAAAAAAAGAAAAGAGGCTCAATTGGCTCACAGTTCTGCAGGCTGTGCAGGAAGCATGATGCCAGCATCTGATCAGCTTCCGGGGAGGTCTCAAAAAGCTTCCAATCATGGCAGAAGGCTAAGGGAGGGCCAGCATGTCACATGTCCACAGCAGGTGCAAAAGAGAGTTGCAGGGAGCAAAAGTGCCACACAATTAAACAATCAGATCTCACAAGTACTGACTCCCTGTTGCAAAGGCAGCATCAGACCATGAAGGATCTGCCTCTATGACCCAAGCACCTCCCACCAGGCTCCACCCACTTCCAATACTGGGGATTACAATTCAGATTTGGTGGGGACACATATTCAAACTATATTACTAATGATATGGATGACGGCAGGGAAATACTGGGTAGAAGAGAGTGGTTCTCCAGCAAAGGCCCCACCCTCAAGCCTGGAGACCCGTGGCCCTAAATCGGAACAAGCATTCCTGTTTTCATGCCCAGAAGTTGCCTTTTGGCCCTCCATGCTCCCCTATCCTGTCCCATATAAACCCCAAACTCCACAAGCAGATGAGACAAACAGAAGAGCAGAGGAATGGCAGAATGGCACAGCAGAAAAAAGAGAGGAGTTCAGCTGGGAATAGTCAGAGAGGAGACCAGCCACTGGACAGCCAAACTTCAGGGTAAGATCATCTTCCCACTCCATCTCCCTTCCAGCTCCCTATCCAGCCCACTGAGAGCCACCTCCCCTATTCAATAAAACCCCTGCATTCATCCTTCAAGTCTATGTGTGACCTGATTCTAGAGGACACTGAGCTGGTTAACACTTAAGCCATCCACAGACAGCAAGGCTAAAGGGAGTTGCAGTCTCCCACCCCTGGACACTGCCATGGGGTCAGAGCCAAGGGGTACTCGCCCCAGCTTTTGCACCTGTCTGTCTGCATGCTCTGCCTCCCATAAAGGGTTTGAGTTAGTGAATTTCTTTATCAGTATATCACATATCTACCAATGATCTATTTATCATCTAGCTATCAATATTTAGCGATCTGTCAATTATCTATCAGTAACTATCAATTATCTCTCTTCTCTCAATCATCTGCTATTTATAATCTATTAATCATCTATCAATCACCTATCCATCATCTATGTATCATCTACTTATCAATATCTATCAACTATTACCTGTCAATTTATCATCTATCAATTATCTATCAAAAATCATCTATTTATCATCTACCCATCAACTATCCACCAATCATCTATTAACTATCAATCAGCTGAACAGATGAGCCACAACCTGCTGCACATCCTGCAAGGGGGTCAGGGAATTCTCCTGTTTCACTGATAGAGAAATTGCCATCATGGAGGCCAGGGGCAGTGGCTCATGCTGGTAATCCCAGCACTTTGGGAGGCCGAGGTGGGTGGATCACCTGAGGTCAGGAGTTTGAGACCAGCCTGGCCAACATGGTGAAACCCTGTGTCTACTAAAAATAGAAAAATTAGCTGGGTGTGGTGATGGGCACCTGTAATCCCAGCTACTTGGGAGGCTGAGGCAGGAGAATCCACCGAGAGGTGGAGGTCGCAGTGAGCCAAGATCGCATCATTGCACTCCAGCCTGGGTGACAGAGCAAGATTCCA